AGGACTCATGGGTTGAGATAAAAACTATTTACTAATTAAAAGAAAATGATAATGATAACAACAGTGATAACAGACTATACAAATGAGTGATACACAGTGCTCACCGCCCACTGACCAATTCCCAGCCTGTGCCAGCTAACGATCCCAGAGCCGAGACGGTCCCGAACCGAAATCCCGGAACAGTGAGCCTGAGCGATCCCCGAGAGGATTGCAATCCCATCTTCCGGTCATCTCTGGTTAATATACTGACATGACGTGATATGATATGGAATATTTCACTGGCACATCCAGATGCCAGTTTGGGGTTTTGCTCCTCACTGCGCTTCCCCCTCCCAGTCCTGGTGCAGCTGTGAAACAGACAAACAACGTGGCCTTGAGCTGCAGTAACTAAAAACATTGGTATTTTATCAACGTTCTTCTCATGATAAGTCTGAACTGAAACACTGAAAGTAAAATACTACTCTTCTAATTACTAAAAATTAACTCTATCTTAGCAAAACCAGGACAAGTTTCTATATATCCTATGCTTGTTGACCATTCCACAAAATTAACACCATGTGAAGTGATGTTTATACAAAAGAGGACGTGTTCAGTGTAATTCACTATCCATATAATAGATCAAAAAAAATCACATTTTAACCATTAGCCTCTAATTTGCTAGATTTTTATGATTTCTTGAAGTTGATGCCTTGAATCTAGATAAGCAAGATCAATATGCGTCTAAATTTTGATGATCTCAGGTATTTCTCTACATGTTAGTATCTAGACATGTGTAATCACATCTATATTAAAAACTTCTAGAACCTCTGCATAAAAATCTGTACATCTAGAAATTAATTTTGTATTTTGGTTGCATTTTCTACTTTTGTTATTTTATGATCACTGGTTTATAGTTCTAAGTACCATAGCAGAATAATGTTGAGACGTTTCCAGTTATAATAGGACTCATTTCTATTCAGGCCAAGATCTTATTCAGCACAACGCTGGAAGCAGTGATCTGAATAGTGGCTTAAGGCTGACAGCGCCAACCATCAACAGTCAGACTGCAGGTGCTACGTTAACGATAAGTAATGATCAGCTTCTTTCTCAGGGCACTTCACTAAATGCTCCAGGTATGCATGCAGCGGTTTTTCTAGTTAAAAATAATAACATTATTTAACTAAATATTAAATGGTATAATCTTTCACGCTTCAATTCAGGATCTATGTGGCTTTGTGTGTTTTCTCACTAGCTTTAAATTGTTACACCAATTTAAATGAACTTTAGTCCACATAGTAAGGAGAAAAAGGAAAACAAGATGACACATCTGAAAGTAGTACATTGAGGCAGTTACAGGAATGTTGAAGGACTATTTCTACAAATTGGAGGATGAGGAAATCTGATACATTTGCTGCAGACAGATGATAAAATATCCTTGATATCAAATTTGCTCTAGTATTCAAATTTCAATATTTTAAATATGTATGTGAATTTCTACCTATATCTATTTATATATATACATATATATACAAACACATGTGTCTGTATATAGTTGTTCATACTTTCCACCAGTGCAGCTGGTTGCATTGGTTGCACTGACTGGTTGCAGCAGGTTGGAATAATACAGGCTTACTACCGATACATTAATAATTTTCTTCATTCTTATGCATACTTAAATTTTCTCTATCTTCCTTTTCCTTTGTGTCCTTTCATAGCTTCCTTTAGTGCTCATATACATCTATAAAGCAAATCTGCTTTAATGTCATACTGGGGGAAGTGTACCCCAGGTTATCCTGTAAGATTTGACGATTAAGGCATGCTCTTGTGTAGTGAATCAGTAAATGAAATAGTAAAAACAAATGGTTTTACGGTACCTTCTGTATCATCTTCTCAGGTTTTTGAGGCTTATTAACATTAAACTGAGAGCTGTGCGGCCTCTAGTCACATGTTGAATAATCTATAATAGACTATTATACAGCTGTTATAATCAAACTGTTATGAAATACCTATTAATAATAAACTGGCCTTATTTGCTATTATGGATTATCAGCCATGCTGCAAGGATAGGGTGGGAGTGCTGGCTTATGGAGTTACGAATTTTGGCTTTACTGCCTTGAGTGGAAGTTTATTTCATTGAGAAAGTGGTCAGACTACAGAAACATGTAACAAACTTCTTCAGATGTCTTTTTGGCAGTGAGTCATCTCCCACTTGCCATGTTACAAAGTTACTGCTTTGCAGTATGAAGCCCATCAAGCTACACTGAGATGTAATTTTTCTAATTTTATCATCTGACTCTGGCAATTTTTGACATATGATTAGCTCTTTAACTGATTTATTTGCTTCTGATATAGGCCTAGCAAGTGAGAAATAGAAATTATTAAGTTCAATGAAAATAAGTTTAGAGGTAAGAGTTTATGTATGTAACAGATTATTTTGTTACTATTTTGCATATATTCCAGAACTTAATGCAACAGGTGGAACAAACCTTCCTTCAACACCACCTATATCTCAGTCCACAGTTTCTGCCCAGAATTTGGTAATGTCCTCATCAGGAGTTGGAGGAGATGGTAGTGTCACCTTGACTCTTGCTGACACTCAGGGAATGTTGTCAGGTGGTCTTGATGCAGTTACACTTAATATCACTTCACAGGTAAGAAATGCATTTCTGAACTGACAGATAAACTAATGTTACTATCTTACAGGGCAGGAATTGGAGATTTCACTTAGAAAATAATTTTTGGAAATATATGTTATTTGAAAATTCAGTTAACTTTCCTTCTTTCTGCCAACAGTGTGTGCACACTGTCATGTAAAAGCGTAAATTATTTAAACAGAAACACCTATAAATTTTGCAGGGGTTTTTTTTGCAGTGAACAAATAGATTCTACTGTTTCAAATGTTGTTTGAGATCAATTTTTAGTGATAAACGAAACTGTACTTCACTATTACTATTCAGTAATACAGCTTAGTATTCCTAATCTTTTTATTGTTTAATATGGTAAATTTTTCTTTTCCTCCTTGTGAACATGAGAGTTGAAAAGCAGTTGAAGATAGTTCCTTTCATAGCAAATAACAAGACAGCATCTAAATTAAATGTCTTTAATAACAGGTAGCATCATAAGAGATTTTATAAGAATAGTGCTGTATGGACTATCATTCCCCAGTAGCTTTAGTATTAGTTTTGTTTTTATCATAATTTAGGATTTTTGTGGTGCTCATCAAGAGCCAAAGACATGTTGGCAAATAGAATGTACAGAGCGAGGAGGAAAAAAACAATCAATAAATAATATTAAAAGACTAGAAAGTGAAAATTTAGGGTCATTGTGTGGTTGTTGGCATTTCAGTGCAGATTTTACATCTGAAAACCTGGACCATTTCTTCTACTTTCTTGGCTTAACTAGGTTTAGATTCATTTTTACTTACTTTTTGACCTGAACTAAAATGTGTACATGTATATAAATGAAAGAGTATTTGCCTAGCATATAGTGTGATTAAATCTGATGAAGCAAAGTCTGTGAGGATGATTAGATGCTTCCCTCAGTAGTTTTGCTCTGGGGAGGGGAAGAAAAGACTTCTTAAATAGTTCTTATGACACATTATGTTTCTGGCATCACAGAGTAACAAAGCAACACGTGGTTTCGTTTCAGACTTTGTAATAATTTAAGTGATTACATTGGCAGTGTTGATGTTTATTAATATGACAGTATGCCTAATGTTAAGGCAGGCATAAATAAAAGTGAAACATTATTTTGGGCACTATGCAAACACAGTCTGTGTTGTAGGAATCATGATGAGTAGACAGCTAGTACATAAAGATACTGTTTCCTGGGGAAATTGAAGAGTTTAACAATAATGTAGAAATAGCAGTATGATATTAGTAGTCATATATCCTAAGTAGTAATTTTGTACCTTGATTTCATGTGGTTTCAAAGTAGGTTTAATTAAGAGATTTTTTTAAAAAAAGGAAAATACTGTAGGAAGACCGCTCAGGAAAGCAGAATAAAGGGGTTAAAGAAAGTATCAGCTGAAGAGACAAAGACAAGGGAAGGCTGAAGCATTCAGCAACTGGTGCAAGGCTGGGAAAAATTAATCAGAACTGAATCACTACTGTCACAGACTCCCAGCTGTTCTTACTCTTAAATTGTTAAGACTTTAAATGAAAGGAGAAAAGAAGAGAAAACAGTAGCATTTGTCCAGATAGAAAAAAAAAAAAAAAAAAGTAGTTTTGAAGTATAAAAACAATTTACATGACTACAGTTAGCTGTTTAAATATAGTTACCTTGATCTGTTCCTGTTGATTTTTTTTATTATTATTATTTTTTCCCCTCTCTTTGACAGGGTCAGCAGTTCCCTGCTATTCTCACAGATTCTGGTCTTGCTAGCCAAAGTGGGTCAGGCTCACAGCAAGTCATACTGGTGAGCCATACACCCCATTCAGCGTCTGCAAACTCTGATGAAATAACCTATCAGGTAGATACAATATATTTCTGATCTTTTGTGGATAAAGGACATTATTTAATCAGAATAATGGATTGAGTCCTCTATATCCTGAAGCAGGAAGGCTGATGTCATTCCCAGATAAGAGTACTGGGAAGAGGTTCATTGTGACTTCCTAGTTACCAGATTCCCTTTTAAGTTTTGAGTTAAAAACATTTCTTCATATGCAAAAAAGAAATGCAATTAATAATGTGTTTTTTTCTACAAATTACATAACCATGCTCTCAACACAGACTGCTCCAAAAATTTCCATGTAGGTTTGTAATTAGATAATAGACAAAGTTGAGAGCTGTGGGAAGAAAAGGCATCTATTGCTACGCATTTTCCACTGCCTTTTTGTAGCCAAATTGTTTTAATAGTGGTGCAACATAAAGTCTTTTTAACTCCTTGTGTATTTGAGTTTCAGTAGAAACTTCTACATATGTAATATAGGGTTAATATTAGAAAAAGTACTTCAGACTTCTCTTGTTGAAGGCAAAATTAATGTTTTCAACCAACCTGGTAACACAAGCTCTAAAATAAGAAAAATAAGAGAGGCTGATGGTGACCCACAATCAAGTGAAGAAGTGGTAGACTGGATTGGCAAGCGAAGGGCAAGATGTGGTTGGTACGAGCAAGAGAATCCTCAGAAGTAATGAGGGCTGAAGGGAGGGGGCCTACCTCAAGTTTATGTGTATGAATAAAGGTGCTGAGATGACAGCGTAATAGTGGAAACTTCAACACTCTTCTTGGAAAATTGTCGCAACTGGGTGTCTCTGAAGTGCCTGTACACTGATGCATGCAGCATGGGGAATGCACAGGGGGAATTGGAGGTTTGCATGCAGTTGCAGGGCTGTGATCTTATTGAAATCAGAGAGAGAAGTTGCTACAGTTCACACAACCGAAGCATTGCCATGGCTGGATTCAGGATCTTCAGAAAGACCGACAAGACAGCAGTGGAATGCGTGGAGCTCTGCCTGAATGATGAGCCAACTGAGACCTTATGGGCAAGGATTGGCAAGCAGACCAGCATGGGTGACACTGTTGTGAATACTACCCATCTGCCAGATCGCCTGATCAGAAGTAGAACACGAGGCTTTCATCTTGGTCTTGGGCAACCTGCTCTAGCTCACCCTTTTTGAGTAGAGGAGTTGGACTTAGATGATCTCAAGAGATCCTTTCCAACCTAAACACATTGTGATTTGCAGTCCCTGGTCCACATGAGCTACTTCAGTCTGCTGAACATCTGTCAGAAGGGCAACAAGCACGGCACAATCTAGATAATTTCTGGAATACATTGACGATAACTTCCTGATACAAGTGACTGAGAAGCCAGCAAGTGGTGGTGTTCTTCTGGGCCTGATAATTGCAAATAAGGAAGAACTGATTGGGAATGTGAAAGTCGGGGACATCCTTTGTTACAGTGACCATGAGATGGTGGAGCTCAGGACCCTGAGGGAAGGAAGCAAGGCAAATAGGATCACCACTCTCGGCATCAGGAGAGCAGACTTCAGGCTATTCAGGGATCTGCTTGGAATACTTGTATGGTAATCAGACCTGGAGAGAAGGAAGACCAGGAGAGCTGATTGATTTTAAATACTGTCCTCCTCCAAGCTAAAGAATCATCAGTCCCAATGTATAGGAAGTCCAAGGTGACAGGAGGCCAGTGTGGAGGAACAAGGAGCTCCTGACAAAACTCAGATTTCAAAAAGAAGCATACATAAGTGGAAGAAAGGTCAGGTGACTTTGAAGGAGAACAGAGACAACCTTCAAGGAGGCAGGGATGAATTTGGGAAACCCAAAGATGACCTGGAATTGCCTCTTAACAGGAACATGAAATG